ATTTGTCCAAACTATCATATGAAACATGTGAACACCAATGTTGTTTCTGCATTTCATATCCATGACAACACAGGCAAGGGTTAAAATATGAAAATATTAGAAAATTGTTTTGAGAATGAGACCTTTTATATGCTTGAACTCATTCCAATCAACCACCTATTGCACATGGTGATATGACCGTTGGAGGTTTACCCAGTTAAGCTATTGAAACTATGATACATTTTATGATACTGATGCTCAAAGTTAGTTGTAGATACAATTGTGCCCCGCAAAATGAGATTTGGACTTTAGATTGTGACACCTGGACTGGATATAAAATTAAATTGATTTGGTTGTTGGTGTGTTTTTCAAAATTTCATGCCAAATAAAAACATGAAATTTTAACTCACTCCTCTGTATTCCAAGGGCCTGCCACTTAGAAAATATTTCTGGGATGAGGGTAAAATTGTGCATGACTTCATTCAATACTATAAAGTTATTAGGAATAAAAAATAAACTAACATTCAAAAAAAAAACGCTGATTCTGAGGGGGTCAGATGGGAACTTTTCACAGATTGGGTTAATTTCATATGTAATGACCCCTGTGAGCCTGGTATGAATCTTCTCCTTTAAATCTCAGCAAGGAAGTGATTCAAGAACAAAATACCAGATAATTTGGTTTACGATTTAGTTTGTGAACTAGTGTTTCCTTATTTTCCTCAACTACTGACTCTAAGCTGCAAAAGCTTGCAGTCACAGGTCTGTGTGATAAAGTGTGTCTCTGTTCTTTCCTGTTGGCTCAGTGCTGCTGTGCTTTGTTTGGTTCTGCTTTCCACTTTGTTTTATTATGTTGTGATCTGATCTTTGACCCTTAACCCTCAATCTTTTGGCATTCGGCAGGAGTCTGGGCTCGCCTCCTGGATCGGAGGCCACCTCCAGCCTTTGGCCGAGGTTCCTCCTGCTGCAGCTGTGATGCTGATCACTGCTTTCCTGGCCTGTTTCACTGAGTTCGCCAGCAACACTGCCACAATTATTATATTTTTACCTGTCATTGCTGAGATGGTAAGCCTGGTCTTCAACTTAAAAGACACAGTATGTAGAAAATTAGAATTACTTAGATGCTGTATGTGTTCTTAAATGGACATAACTACATTATAGGACGTAACATTTAATAGCTCACAGAGAGCTAAGCAAGTAAATTCCTGTTACATACTTTGGTGTGATGATGAATGTTCATTAATTTAAATATTTATTGGAAGTTCCAGCAGTAATGAACTTAAACTGCACTTAAGTCTGACTAGAAACTGTGTCAGTACTGAGTGAGATCACGCTGATGAAGATTACAGTCTGGCTGACAAACGTGACAACTCTGTTAAAGGATGAAGCAGTGGAAACTAATGAACTGGTTCACTGCTGACACTGTCTTCTATGTCGCACAGAGGCTTAGCAGGCTTGTTAAACTCTTGCAATGAATGTTCTTATGTTTGTAACCTGTCGGACATTAACTGTTCATGTTGGCAATCATTATGTGAGGCTGTTGTTCCTGGAAATGCAAGAAACATACTCACTCAGAAAACTGTTCATAGGATGTACAGAGGGTTAATGAATTGTAATTAAAGGGCCAGTTCACCGGCAACGTTATATTCTTGCTCAGTATTCTGTCAAATCAGTTGAAGTCTGATCTGATTGGTTTAATGTACTTAGTCTAATATCCAAATCTAGAAAGACGTTTCTTTTTGGACTTTGAGGAACAATGACAAAAACAAAAACAAAGAACCTCTCTTACTGTATCTCAACTGATGTGGAGCCACGACATACTTGTTGTATTTATCCAGGTTGTAAATTGGCAGGTTGTAAATTTTCAGTCCTTGAATAAGCTGCCATAAAACAGACATTCGTTGTCTGTGACTGTGACTTTAGTAATCAGTTGAATTATCCTGTTGCACCACTATGAAGTGCTGCCAACATTTATGGTTTGAAGTGAAAACAACACTTCAATGGTTTACTGTGAACTTTGGTACAACAGTTCCCTTCACAATGAGTTGTAATAACTGTGGTGATCTCTAAGCTTTTCATGGTGCGCCATCAGCGGATAATAATTTGTCCAGAACTTTTGACCAAATGTCTGCAAAACTAATGACTTTCCTGTCAGTCTCAACTGTACTTTGTGATTAAGGTTATGCTAACCTAACATGATAAACATACCTGCAAAATCTCAGCATGTTAGCATCATCATCATCATCATCATCATCGAAAGAATTAAGATTAATTTTACAAATCTACCTGACTAATTGAAAAATTGAGGTTAAGACCCTACAGTAGCAGAGGATTTTAACATCTTATGCAGCCCTAGTGTGAATATCCTCAACATGTCTTTGTGTTCACCCCTGCAGGCTATGCATGTCTCGGTGAACCCTCTGTACTTCATGATACCTGCCACCATAGGATGTTCATATGCCTTCATGCTGCCAGTGTCCACACCACCCAACTCCATCGCCTTCGCATCAGGTCATCTCATGGTCAAGGACATGGTAAGATCCTCACACGGGCTATAAAACATACTGTCAATGAGTCACAGTTCATGATCAGATAACCTTGTGTTTTTTGTCCCACATTTCTCAGGTGAGAACTGGCATTGTCATGAACATCCTGGGTGTCCTCTCTGTCGCTCTGGCCATGAACACTTGGGGCATCGCCATGTTTGACTTGAACTCTTACCCAGAGTGGGCTCATCCTATTAACAAGACCGCTCTTTTTACTGATAAGCACATCTCATCTGTTCAGCCATTTAATGCTACACTCTGATCACAAATGCAGTTTCACACAAGTATCAGAAGATTGTATAAAGATTTAACACTAAACAGGGACAAAGGTCTGCCTGTAGACGTCCACCGTGTCACTAGAATGGCAAAATGCTCTGGGAGCTGTTACTTGTAATGCTTGTAAGGAGTTCATTATACGTACATGTGTCTGTTTTGGGCTCTTGAAAGTCAAGGTTTCATACTGTGAAAAGTTTTGCCAAGTTAAAGATGATGCTGCAAGTTAAAATCTGCTGCACTATTTTACCCTCTTAAACTCAACAACAACAGCTTAGAGCACTGAAGAGTGTTTTATATTTGTAAAACTCCAGCCGCACTGCAGAATGTGCTGTTTGTATTGTCACTACTAGGCTGACCTCTGCTGGAAACGTGAGAGACACCTCTACGAATAACTCTTTTAAAATATATATTTTGGCTTAAATCACTAAGAGATCATGTTACTTGTTTGTGTATTATATGGCACATGTGTCAATGCTAAAGCCATAACAGAAAACAATATTTTAAATCTTGTCTGAGCTGTCAATCCTGACTAATGAATGTGTAAATTTTGTTACATAAAGATCTACATTCATATAACTACTGTTACAAATAAATTTGTATTATGATGATTTAGTTGCATGTTGTTTATGTATTTGTACGTAATGAGTGCACAGGGCAGGTTTAATCTGGTATTTCTGGTAACTAAATATGTTTAACTTTTTAATAGATGCTGAAAATAAAACGTAGCCCTCAGCTGTCAGTTTTTGATAAGCTGTTACAGTATATAGTTATACTCCCAGTCTCCACTCATGTTAACACGTTTTGGCCGTTGCACACAAACACGCAGCATATGAATTCCTTACAATGTTTGCTCGGTGTTGTAAACTGCCTGGAGTCACATGGCCCCACAACAATGGCTAACTTGTGCGAGGCAGCCGTGGTTACTCAGTGTAAGCAGGGTCAGTGCAAAAGGTCTCCAGTGTTCGAATGCAAAACTATAAAACACTGCCCGCAGACCGGGACAGGATGTACAAGAGTGCCCAGCACAAACAACCTTTGACAGCACAGGTTTGAACCAAAGCTGATTTATATCTGTGCCAGATCAGAAATAGTTTCATTTGGTAATTATATGAAAATGATGTTTTTTGTTTTCATGAACTGAAACCATAAGTCTGCATTAAATCTCATTGTCTCTCTGCTGACAGAAAGGATCTCTTACAGTATTTCAAACTCATCCAAACACCTGACTAGTGAAGACACTGTGTGTTGTTTGAGGCTTTATTAACCTCATTCTGCTTCTAGATATCCAGCTAAGCAGAGAGCTTAACACATTTCCAAATACAAAAGGCTTTAACTGACCATTTCTTCGTGTCAACAATAGCTGTGGCTCAGTCTTACAGTACTTTGGAGCTAAAAAATACTAGAAACTAAGCATGATTTCTCAGAAAGTTGCAATAATATAAACTGATGACCATAATCTTATCCTACAGAGTTGATAAATTATCAGAGAGACTCACATGTTTCTGTTTGAAGTAATTACGGCCAAATATTAGCCTGGTGATTATAAGATCTGACTTTCAGAATTTCTCCAATTATTGATATTGCTATTTTTTTTAAAAAACAAATTCCATCTTATCTTAAATAGATAACATTAAAAATTAACTTCTTTCTTTCTTTCTTTCTTTCTTTCTTTCTTTCTTTCTTTCTTTCTTTCTTTCTTTCTTTCTTTCTTTCTGTAGTTACCACTGTTTTCTGTTTTCAATGTCCTGTCCACAACACTGTGATTGGTTATGTGTCTCTTTTAATTACAAATGCAAAACATGAATAAAATAAAGGCCTTTAACTACATTTTGCATTGGTGTTTGTCTTATTCAAAAATTTGAAAGCAAGATATATATATATTAATGCATATCGGTTCCAAACATTTATTGTTGTTTTTCCTTGATATTAATCAATATCAATATCAGATCTGAATAAACCATATCACATTGTGTTCAGCCAACAAACTCCATTGAGTTGGAAGAAAAAGCCTTTTCTCATTTAAAGATAAGTAAGTTGATTACTGAGAAAAATTAAGTTGTTCCAACTAGTTTTTCATTTAAATGATATTTAGGAGGATTTTAAAAATGTGATATGAACTTAATTACCATAATTATAAACACAGGTTTTTAGGTTGGAAAACATAATAAAATTAAGTTCCTCCAGTGTTCAGTTGTTGGGAAAGACACTTGAAATCCTGACCTTGAGGTCTTTAGTTATTAAGCCAATTAAGTTACTTCAACTAGTTTAAAATCAACTAATGCATAAATTTGAGTTAAAATTACATACAATGCTATGTTAATCAAATTACTGACATCACTATGTCAACCCAACCCATCAAAATCATGCCTGTAACTTAAAAGATGTATCTAACTCAATAACACAATACATTTTTGTCTTGCAATCAGGGACTGCATGGTGGATCGGTGGTTGACACCGTCACCTCCCAGCTAAAAGATCTCTGGTTTGCATCCCGGTTAAGACTGCATGGAGTTTGCATGTTCTCCCCGTGCAGCGTTAGTTCTCTCTGGGTTCTCTGGCTTCACCCACAGTTCAAAATCATGCTGAGGATAACTGGTGATTCTAAATTGTCTGTAGGTGTGAATGTGAGTGTGCTTGTTGTCTGTCTCTATGTGTAGCCCTGTGATAGACTGGTGACCTGTCCAGGAGTGTCTCCTGCCTTCACCCTAAGTCAACTGGAATAGGCTCCAGGGCCCCCACGACCCTAGTGAGGATTAAGCGGTGTATAGATAATGAATGAAAGGGTGGATGGATCTTGCAATCACTACAGCACTACATTGAGTGATAGGAGTAGGTCCCCTGACTTACTTCTGAGAGTGTAGCAACAGAAAATTGGTGCAAGTGACACTGAAAATGTGAATTCATACCTAGCTGTTTCTTTTTTCTGTTAGTGTTTTAGGTGGAAACTTTTCAACAGATTTATATTCAACTGCAGGAAAGCGTAGATTTCATACAGGAAACAAATCTGTAAGGAACCTCAGTGCAGCCATACAGTTAGCATAACGCTTTGCTTTTCGACTGGAGAACAGAGCTATATGTGAGCGCACTACAGTCATTTCTACATCATTCCGAAACTGCTCTTTGTATAGCGTGCCCTGTGTCACATTGTGTGTATGAGCGTGTCATGCCCCTCCATATGATGTTGTGTCATGTATGGTTCACATGGATAAGAGCTGTCTTTTGTTTCCCACATGGGAACTTGTTTTCAACCCACAAACACCAACATGACAGTGACTATTCAGCAAAGTTCCCCTTTTTACCTTCACAGTGCATCAACACTTCCCAATCCTGTCTTTTTTCTCACACACAGGATTTCTTAGAGAAAATAAGGTCCATCACAGAAAACATTGTTTTGCCATTCAGGTAAGAACTTTTATCTATTATAAATTATTTCTAAAAGAGTTTCTATTGTCCAATAACTTCCCAAGATGATATCTATCTTTACTGTGAATAGATGTATGAACAGTTAAACTTGTATCTATTGCATGGCAAACTTTGAAGAGAAAAAATATCTTTCATAGACCTACAACACTATTGTTTCACTATATTATTATGAGGATTAGCTGCAGGTGAAACATTATCTGCAGTTTCTGTTTTGTGTTGAATAATTAGGGATATTCTTTTATACATATATATATTTAGGGCAATGCATTTCCTATTTTAAATTAAAAGTGTGAGACAAGACCATTTGTGATTTTAAGGGGAATAATGTGCTGTAACTGTTTCAGAACAAATAGAATCTGGATGGTCTGGTCATTTTCAGTGCAGTATGTGTACATATATGTACTTGGTCAAAAAAGCTGTTTCGGATTTTGAAAGAAACTGTCAGTATTTACTTTGAGCACATAGCCTCATGAAAAGCCATAGTTTTATTGTACATTTGATTAATTAATTAAGATATCATGTGTCAAATTGTTATATTTAGAGGTGCTGCTAAGTGTATTTTAAACTTTGGACAGAGGCTGGGCACAAACTACACCATAACTGTCGGGGAGTTTACTTTTTTCCCACTTTTTCGTGGTCAGAAATGTCACATACAGCATTTATACAGTACCTGATGTAGCTTTTATTACTTTATCATTATTTTTATGAATCAGTATGTAAGCAATTAGAAGAGGAAACCAGGTAAAAAATTAACTGCAATTGCCTCCCTTCTACATCATGGGGGGTTAGGTTTGTTTTTCTGTTCTGTTTTTTAGTGGTTAGCATCAAGTAAGGTTGTTTTTTTGTGTGTTTTTTATCTCTGGGTTAAAGTGGATGAACTTTGTGATACTGCACTGCTGCGTTTCTATGTGACTGCAAGAACAGCTTGACTACTGGTATCTTTATTAACGTGATTAATCACTCAAACACATGACTCATACACTTATAATAGCGAAATCTTTTTTAAAACATGATCCATGATGATATGGATATAGAAAAAATAGAAAAGCATGGCAAAAATAGCATACTGTACAGTATTATGGACCACCCAAAATCATATTTTCAGGGGAGCTCATGATTATAAAGATGAGTCCTGCTCCACCTGGCTAATCTGTAGTTCAAGACTGGCCAGAGGAAGACTAGCTGCTGCTCCTGAATCCAATCTGATGATAGCGTCAGTGCTTTACTATAGCTCCAGTTTTGCAAAAAACTGAGACTGAGACTTAGATGAGAAAATCAAATCAAAGCCACTCTCTTGTCTGACTGTTCAATGTGAAACTGGAGAATCATGCAATTAGATTAGTTTAGTCTGGTTCTATGAAACCAAGCAACCCTGTCCTGCAAAAAATATGTTCCCGTACAAGTAAACTACTTTCTCATTTTTGTTTTGAGACATGTTTTCTCCTTCAAAAAACAAGACTGTAGGGGCGCCGCGATAGCTCACCTGGTTGAGCTGGCGTCCCATATACAGGCGCTAAAGTCCTCAATGCAATGGTAGTGAGTTTGAGTCTGACTCATGACACTTTGCTGCAGGTTCTTCCCCCATTCTTCTCCCCCACTTTCCTGTCTCTCTCTTCACTATATTGTCCAATAAAGGCTCAAAAGGCCAAAAAAAACCCTTAAAAAAAACCCAAGACTGTAATGTAATAGGAAGCATGTAGGGAGGAAGGAGGTGTAAGTCAACAAGAAAAACGTTCACCCAGGAAGCTGTGGTTTGCATCTTGTGAAGGACCCTTAATCTCAGACTTTCCTTTTATTTTGACACACTTACCTCAAGTTTTCACTCACAATTTGCTGAGGTTGAGGCACCAAAATTATTTGGTTAGGTTTAAGAAAGTAGCAAAGCTTGGGTTAAAATTTAAGCCTTTTACAACATTATTGAAGCTTCTCCTTCATTTTCTGGGTCACCAGGGTGATGAGTTTCTCCAATATGTGATGTGTTGGAGACAGTAAAGCAATAAAAGAAAAGAAGAAGATAAGCTGATTGGAAATGTGTTTGTGATACGTTGTTAATAAATGTTAGGAGAAATTAAGTTATATAGTTATACTTATATATAGTTGTATATAGATCTTGGACTCTATGTAGAGATGGACAAACCATCATCAAGGGGTTTCCTGAGCAGCAGTGGTGAATCTCAGTGTGGCTCGAGCCGTCACCACTTTGGCACTATCTGACTCCTCCCTGAATCCTGGCTAACCCTTAACGGAAAAAAGAGGTAGCACGCGAATCAAGCTGAGGTGGGACATGCAAACATCTTTAGGCTTATAACACCAACCACATGTCATTCAAAGCAGCCAGGACCTTAACTATGCATAACTTTAAACCTTAAATCCATTTAAATGGGTGAGTTGTATAAAAATTCACCTCCGTAGAGTTTTTCTGAATGGAGAAATTAGCAATAGAGACCAAATCGTTTTTTTGTATCAGGCCGGAAATATGTTTATTTCTCCTGTAATGTTGTACATTTTTGTACATTTTAACATAAAGGTCAATGGGGATTGACTCGCAGTAGGTAACAGCCTCAAGTGGCCATTTGAGGAACTGCAGTTTTTAGCATTTCAGTTATTTTTTGTCAGCCCCAGAGCGTTCCACTTAATACGGATGAGAAAGGGGTGAATTGTGGAAGCATCATATTTAAAAGACAAATATGACATTGATATTGAATAAACATTTTTCTTGATATGTTGCTTCTTTCTCTCCTCAGGGCCAGAATGGGATCATGCAGACAGACGATAAAATCTTTCCTGTTTTATCTCTGGGATGTTTTCTCTAAACCAACTCCTGCCGGCAGAGAAGTCCTAACTCTGCTGTCTCTCTGTTTCACACTTGCCATCCTTACTGGTGGCCTGCTTCACCACTGGCTGTCAAAGACTCTCAGATATGATTACGAAGCATCCGTTCAGACAGCCTGCATTTACAGCGTGGCCATGTTGCTGGTGTCCTTCCTGTGTCACCCCCTGCGCTGTGTGTTAACCATGACTCTGCCCACCGTCTGCACCAAAGAGGGTCGCAAACTGCTCATCTCAGCATCTGTCATGATTCTTGTGCTGAACGTCGTCCCTAACATCTCAGTCAACGTCGGGGCGGTCGTACGCATCCTCAAGTGCACTGCTGAAGGTTTTACAAAGACTTTATTAAATGTATCCGAACCCTTTAACAATGTTAAGCGGGACCTTGTTGAAGAAGCGATCAAAGTGAAGCGGGAGGACTTGAGCATTGTCACCAACTTAAGGACTTTAGATCATTTCACGCACGTCAATGTGTCAGGAGTCAAAGGCAGATTCACGAAGATGATTGGGCAGATAGAGGTCAACTTCTCATATGCCAGGAACCTGCTGAGAGAATGCAAACTGCTGTCAAACCGGATTCTTGCTGCCATTTTTGTTGCTTTACTAATTCTTGAATCTGCGCGCTACTTGAAATCTTATCTGACATCAGTTCAGTTTGATAACGGCTTCACCTCTAAAGAGCTCCAGCAAAAAACACCTCATGCTGGTACTAAAAAGCCAGCTAAAAATAAAATCAATCTCCAAAACTGTAAAATAACAACTCAGGAATGTGCTTCTTGTTTCGTATCGCTGGTTGTGGTGACGTTATATTTCATTGCTATAACTTTAATAGTAGTTTTGGATCATGCTGTCTATCATATAGTTGAAATGATTGTGCCGTGGCTGCTGGATTTTCCACCTACGTCCGCAATTATCAGCGTCAATTATAAGGTATGGCAGCACAAAAATGTTTTGCTTCAGTTTTTGCTTCCTCCTGTATTCAAGTTTTCATATGTTTGCTTTTGTTTTAGGTTCAGTGGTTCCCCCCTGCTTTTTGTATCATCCCACAATCGTGCATCACACGGGAGCTGACAAACTTCCACAGAGACTACAAGTGGAACTTCAGCCCCGAGCCGTCGCTCTGTGATGTGACAACTTCAGCTCCGAACCTGGGAGTCACACTCGTGCTGGGATGCCTCTGGCTGATGAGCTACTTTATGGTGTTCCTTGAGGTTTATGCCAGGCGGCTGCGCAGAAAAATCTCTGCATCCTTCTTCAGAGAGCAGGAGGAGAGGAGGGTGGCTTACTTGATGAGGAAAATGCATGAGAAGCAGAATAAGAAAGAGCATAAAGAGACTATTTCTGTTGGTGTCTTTAAGTAAAATGCCACAACTACTATTGGATGGATTGCCAAGAAATTTGGGTCACCCGTTCACATCCCCAAAAGGACGTTCTGTAATAGTCTATCTGATGCCATCATCAGACCAAGATCTGATCCAAAGATGGAAGGATGTGTGGAACTTTGTAGATTGTGTGTATTTTATTAGCTGTCCTGTTTGTCTAGTTTCAACATTTTTTCTTCTATGTTAACATGTCCACATAATGTTTTTTATATGCCAGAAGACACATCATGAGCAGAATTAGCGGACAGTGCCATGGCTGAGCAATTCTACCTTGAAGCAGCAGTGCATCAATGACAGTCTCAAAAACACAGATTCAGACTTCCAGGGTTTCATATGTAACAAACCTAAAAAAAAACAAAACATTGATGCCTACTTATACAGTGGAACTTTCTGTATCACTATTCATCTTTAGAATCAGTTTACAGTTCGAACATGGATCACTGAATGACTTCTGTACTACAAGTTGCTATTGTTTAGTGCAGAGTAGTTTTACCATGTTTGAGCAGTCATAGGTGAGCTAGTGTGCTTGACCTGCAGCGAGTGGAGAGAAGTGGGGGCTTGAAGGATTCACACATTCTAGAGGAAGCAACAGCGCAGAGTTACATCCAACCCATTATTATCATGTCACACACTTCTAAATATATCATTCTGATACACAGAGAGGAGATTTTAATGGTTCAATTAATGGCCGACGAGGAACTTTAGTTGTGACCTGCAAGGTGACTGCAGATGGAAATTAGCTTTAAGTAAACTCTGGAAAAATGAATCAAATTGAAACATTTCTGTTTAAAATTGATTGTGACCTTACAATGATAAACATTCTGAGCATCATGCTGACATCAGCATTTAACTCAAAGCAGGAGTGTGTCAAAGCACAGCCTCACATGGATGCCCAGGCTTAGTCTTGTTACCTTTGTACATTTTTTCTTTCAGGTTTGCATCGTTCGGCGCTCTTACTGTGTTTCTGTTTTTGCAAAACATGTACATGTACTGAACATAGCACATCCTGTGTATGAGTCATTCTCACAACACCTTCTGCAGGCGCATACCCCACTTAAATCCCACCTCTCAGGCGTTTGTGGTTTTTAAGATGCACCGATGCATTTGCTCAATTTGCACCGACCTCGTCAGTTGGTAACAGATTTTTTTTTTTTTGCCCACCGAAAGGTCACAGAGAACACATTTTGCTGCATAGTTGTTTTTTTTAAAAGTGTGTCTAGTGTTGCCCCCCCCCCCCATTGTAATTTAATCTTTCTTTCTTTCTTTCTTTCTTTCTTTCTTTCTTTCTTTCTTTCTTTCTTTCTTTCTTTCTTTCTTTCTTTCCACTAGATGCCAGTGTTGTGCTTTGGCAGATAAAACAGAACCCAATACACAGTAGTATTTCATATCAGGAAATGAACAGCAATAGATTGGGTTTTACTTTTTGTTTTTTTGCTTTGTTTTTAAAGCCTACATAGTTTTAATAGATTAAATTAATCTGATTCATGCACATGTCCAATAACTCACCAGCCTATTTTAATCAGTGTGGCCTTGCAAAAAAAGAAAAAAAAATCATTTCCTTTATCTGAAAAAATCCTTGCATATCAGTATGCTCCTGTATAAAATTCCCGTGAGGCTCCAGAGGTTTATTTTAAGATCTCATCCCAGAATAGAATACTTCTTTATCATCTATTTTTACTCTTGAGTTTTTGTCCACTTCATGATTGTCTCAAAATTTCGCAGCCTGTGTAAAGATGATTTACTGTTTTTCTCAGAAATGATGAATTATTCATACGCTGTCTGTTACTATGAATTCTCACATGAGTGTGTTGCATATTATGTGTGTGACATCTCTGCAGCCAACTGTGGGCTGAATCTTGTTAGAAATGCACTGGACTACAAGACTGATTATCATTACCATGTAAATAAATCTCTCAACATGCACTTGGCCCGATTTTTATTGCTGCATCTTCCCATCCCATTACATTAAATGGAAATATTTGGGATGTTTTATATATATTTTTGCAAAATGTAGTCTGACACATTTGGTCAGAATACATTTTGCACTAGCAAGCATCTGGAAATGCAACATACAGAAACAAATACAAGAGTGTGCACTGCTGAAGATAAGCACACTAAACGTGATAGTACAGGACGGACTTCTTAGTATGCAGCAGCTCCGTCGGACAAGAACTGTTCTGCAGGATTTTTTCTCTTTCTGCAAAGCCATCATATGTTCATTACAGGCAGGCTGCACACTGAATGTTCTTCAATTGAACTCTGTTCTTCTATAATGCAAGATGCCTGTCATCTGTCATGTATTAATATTCCCACACACAGTCCTGTCCACAGATAGAGGGTTAAGGAGCTTTTCAGTCTGCTTTCACTGCTTATAGAACCAGGTCCGATTATTTTGGACAATCAGAACACCTAATTATTATTTTTTTTCTGCTGCTGCAGAGCAAGACTTTAACAGTATCAGCATCTGTAATAGTCGCACTGCCGGAAGATGTGAAAGCGCTCTCAAATGTGCATCATGGGAATTAGCAAGAATCTTAAACTTAAAATGTCGCTTCTTGTTTGTCCCTCAGGGGACAAGACATTTTCTAATTCTACACTATTTGCAAACCCAGAGAGTTTAATACTGTAAATGTGCCTTTTCACAGAAGCATTAAGTAAATTATGTCTGCTGGAGGCAAATCAAAGGTCTGCTTCATAACTAGTGCCATTTCAACTGAATGGCCAATCACTGAGGTGGATGGTGTGTTCAATTGCAAGCTACATCCTTTGTTCTTTTAGTAATTACAGGGTTTATGTGATAGCTACAGTGACATTCTGAGATTAGATGTTGAGATGAAATGGATTTTTAAGTTGGTGAGTGTACACGGTGGTGTGGCTCTAGCGGTGTGAGAGCGAGGGAGGGGTGCACTGGGAGAACAGAGAGGGAGAGAGACAGATGTGGAGGACGAGAGCAACTCTGGAGGAGGACTGAGCAGTAATCATTGTTTCTTGGCTGATTGCACCTGAGCGCTGCAACCGTGTCAGAGTGAGAGCTGCCTTTTGCAAATTATGGTAAGCTGCCCATTTATATTTATTTATTCTCTCGTTATTTTATTTCCCTAACCTCAATCAGCTGTAATTATGTATGTTTTCTTCTTGCTAAAGAGTACTCTGACTTCTTTTTTTTTTTTTAGAGCAGCTTCTTTTTAATCACTGCAAATATGTATTTTAGCCTTGTGACATTTTTTAAAGGATCAAATAGTTGCAAATGATGGCTTTTGTGTGCACTTTGTCACATGCAGAGGGCAACAAACCTGTCACTGTGTCAGGGTTTAAATTTTCCATCACAGTCAAATAGTTAATAAGATCAACATATCAGCTATGAGAAACACAAAGTTTAAAAATAATGCTGGTCTTTGGTAAGTTTATCTTTCTGTGCTCATAACTGTGATAAATTTGTAATGAATGGAAGTTGCTAATTGTGCTTCTAATGTGTCTTTTGTACTTGTGGTGAAAATTACTATTTCAATAATATATTTCAGGTTAAAGAGACTGTCAGTAGCATCAGTCATTTTGTTAGGTGCCCCAAAGTGGCTGTAATATTTATAAAAGAAGCAGAGGAAGAATTCAGGTGATGGTATTTAAGGGTGACAAAGTCTGCAAAGGGAGGAGGTTGGGGTGGATGGATGGTTTGACAAAGCCCTGGGCTGGAACAATGGGAGACAACTGTCTTATTTCCTATTTATATCAGCATGTCTCATGAAGTAAGTTTTACCTAAACCAGGATTTTTCAGTAAATCTAACCTAACAAAGCCCTTGACCACAGTGTCATTACATCATAAAACTATTCTTCCCTACTCAACTTCCCTACAGTCAGTTGTTACAGTTGACAGCACAGTCAGTTGATATTTTCATGCTGATGTGGCATCAGATCTGATCACGTTTCTTTATGTCAGAGGTCAGGGACAGATTCTGGTTTTTGTTGTTGTATATGAAGGATTTGATACTTTTATGTAAAAAGTACCCTTATTGCACTTTGCCTCTTTTAGTCATTAACAGTGAATACATGCAATATTCTGAGACATTTACTTTTTTTTTTCTTTTTTTTTCCCCCCAAAACAAAGGTCCAATTAAAATATTCATGATGATGGGGAGATTGTGCTTTTTCAGGAAGTGAAATCTAACATTTAGTCTCCTGCTCCACCACAATCTCTCTCATTTTCAGTAACAATTGTTTCTCTCCATTTCTGTTTCAAGGATTCTCACTTGTGCCCCTGAAGATTAACTGAATTGTTGGACTTGAACAAGATGGAGAACAATACGACCATCTTTCAGGATGTCACTCAGGTTGTAAATCTGACACAAATACCTCTGAACCCACTCGAAGAACAAGTCATAACAATATTTTTGACAATGCTCATTTGTGGAGTTGGGATTGCTGGGAACATCATGGTAGTGCTGGTTGTTCTTCGCACTAAACACATGGTGACCCCGACTAACTGTTACCTCGTCAGCCTGGCCGTGGCAGACCTCATTGTGCTCCTGGCTGCAGGTCTTCCCAACATCTCTGATGTTGTAGCCTTCTGGATATATGGCTACACAGGATGCTTGTGCATAACTTATCTTCAGTACCTCGGCATTAATGTGTCGTCCTGCTCCATCACAGCGTTCACCATCGAACGATACATTGCTATCTGCCACTCCATAAAGGCACAGTTCATATGCACTGTTTCCCGGGCCAAGAGGATCATAGCTGGAGTCTGGATCTTCACCTCGCTCTACTGCACCATGTGGTTCTTTTTAGTGAACACAAATGAAACTGTCTACACCAACGGGGTGGTGGTCACCTGTGGCTACCGTGTGTCCAGGAGCCTCTACATGCCGATCTATTTCCTGGACTTCACTCTGTTTTACGTGATCCCTCTCATTGTGGCCACTGTGCTATACGGGCTCATTGCAAGAATTTTGTTCATGAGTCCATTGCCGTCACATCTGAATGACCGAGCTGGAGGAGGATCAGTTCACCAGGGTCACTCCAACAGCACAGGCAAGGCCAGCAAGGGCGCAGTCTCTGCAAGAAAACAGGTATAGACCAACTCACAGTTCAGAGAGAGAAAATACTGCAGTCTTATGAATAATCCTGATTAATAATCTCTTTTTTTGTAGTTGTTTGTGGTAAATGTAAAAATAAAAAAAGTGAAGCTCAGATATGACTGTGCACTCACATTTATCATTTGTTCATAAAATGACTCTATGGTTTGCATTATGAGTCTGTTGATCCACTTTGGTCCAGACTGAATGATCAATTGAAGTACCAAGAAATTCTGAATCCCTTGTGTTTTTTTTTTCTCAAGAATCAGCCAAAAACTGACATTGTTAGAGTAAATATGTCTCAACAACTATTAGATAGATTCCTGTGAGATTTAGTTCAGCCATTCACTTGCACTCAGCATTAAGTGTACTCACTTTGGAGACACTTCGATATGGCATAAGCCTCACTAGATCAAGATTTTAAGTTGCCCAAAAGATTGGTTTATAACCAAATACCTGCAAAAGTGATAACATTCTCAAACACCTGATTTGGGTATTATCATGCCATTACATAGCTTCTATCATCGCTGATCATTCCTGTACATATGGGTCGGTATGGACCTTCTCCACTTTCTTGTAGGCTTAGTAGATGCTTTGTCTTGCATTCTGATGATTAATAAAGAGAAAACAACCCTGATAAATTATCAAATGTCTTGCAGTCATGGGAAATCTCGGGTGGATTTGTCACTCTGGAAAACCTACAGGATGAAGCTTAAACTGCAGTAAATGTAGCAGCAGAGTGAATTTTAACCTAAACCACGATCCTTATATAAAACTAACCAAGTAGTGGTGTCTAAACTTAGCAAATTACTAACTGAAAACACAAGTAAACACTAGATGAAAAACAGTGGGTGAAAGCAAAAGTCAAAGCGTAATTTAAGTTTAAAAATAAAGCTATAATTATGGCCTAAGACAAGACACTGTATCCACTGTCGAAATCAAATTAATGCTTTCCACATCCAGTCGGGCTGATACTAAATATCAAATGACTCAGATCAATTCGGAGGCAAAGAAAAGAAGAAGAAGATGAAATCTTGATATGGATATTCTTGGTTGCAATTAATTCCTAAAATATAATAAGACCATGCATGTGTCAGAGTATTTGAACAACAAAGGAGTAGCATCAAATATTAACTCACAATAATCATGTGCTAATATTATGTCAGATCAAATGTGGCCCTTTGCAGCGAGCATATCATACAACTATGAAAATGGCCTCCACATAGGGGCTGTTTAGGGTTTAGAGTTTTTTCTTCCAAATGTACCAAACTGAGTGGTCAGTGCCCTCTTTTGGGAAGGAACCCAAGTACATGCTGGTTTGTCTGTCCGAATGGTGTGTCTAAATGCTATTTTTTAGTGATTATCCCCCAGGTCTCCAGGATAGCGGGCCTTTAGGAACACTTGAGCTGACAGTTTTGCGCAACACAATGTATAAGTGGAACTGCAGGCTCTTAGAATTGTCATCATGAGCATGTTAGTATACTGACATTAGCGTTTAGCTCTGCTGTAGTGAGGTACCATCCCAGAGAGATGCTTGTGTGTCTCGTTGACTCTTATGAAGCATCCTCAGCAGCCCTCACACAGCAGTACAACACTGAGTCACAGCATACTGTGTGCCTGTTGAGATAATTGTGCTCTTGGTCATTAATGTTCCTTATTTCTCTGATCTGGAACAGATAACAAAGATGCTGGCTGTGGTGGTCGTCCTCTTCGCCTTGCTCTGGATGCCTTACCGAACACTGGTGGTGGTCAACTCCATCATCGACCCGCCTTACCACAACACCTGGTTCCTGCTCTTCTGCCGCATGTGCATCTACACCAACAGTGCCATCAACCCCATCGTCTATAACCTCATGTCCCAGAAGTTTCGCGTTGCATTCAAAAAGCTCTGCAAGTGCAGCTGGCGACACAAGGAGGCCGAGTACAATGTGCCGATGTATTACAGCGTGATGAAGAACTCAACGAGCAACGAGCCAGTCACAGAGCAGGAGGAGGTCAGCGGGCACACCGCCAAAAGGTTCACCTCACCACCAACAGATAATGAAGCAAGCGCACTCAGCACTTCTTAATGAAGACGTTGATGAGTTTGTTATATTCATTTAAAAAAAAAAAAAAAACTGTGTGTGCATGATGATTTATTTATGAAAATCTCCCATTTTGATGTCTAGGTTTTGTTTAAAAATATACTGACTAGAATCTGCAGATTTTCTTCTTGATAACTGTGAAGCAAGTTTTATATGTGGTGTTGTAGTTGTGGTACTTTTGCATCAGTATTGTAACAACGTTGTAAATACAGAACAGTCTATCAGTCCAAGCTTTAGTGTACTTTAGACTACTTAGCAGGTCATAGTGGTATTACAGTGACGTCAGTGTTACACAAAAAATAGTAGTTTCTCTGAAATGCATTTGGAAGTTTTCTATTTACCATTTTAGTGCACAGTGACAATATTCAGGACCAACGAACATTTACATTTTTTATGCATGCGTTACTCTTGCTTTGGGTTTATTTATTTTGGAGGTTATGTTGAGACTTTATGTTAGTTAGTTTCATCGAGAGCCATTTCCGTGAAAGTAAATCCTGTGTTAGTTCCCCCTTTTATAACAAGTGTGCTTGTGCTGTACTTTTTATTGCTGGAGAGTCCTATGCACTCAGATGCACCACATTTTTTAACAGCACTGATGACACACAACACAGTCCATTATTTTCCTCTTTTATGAGCACTAAAGTAATGCCAAAGTCCTTATAGGCAAGTTTCGCCACTCGGTAGCCATTTTGATAATTAGTTATTTAGACCTAAAACACCAGGTCTCTATCTAAATGAATGGAGACAGAGTCATAAGTGTAATTTTAGTGCTCACCTGGACATAAAAATTCCATGTTTAGAATCACCTGTGAAATCTGATAAAGTTTGCCTGTGACTTTACCCTATACAAATGTGTCAGTGCAACAAAAAATCTGGCTGGATGTTTCCTGGTACGAGGAGTCGTGCGTCATATAACCACCATCTTAGTCGCTATAATTCTCCCATTGATTTCTATTCAGGATTCTTTAAGTCTAGTGGGAATCACCTTGGCATGACCTGCTTCTGATGCCGAGGCAATTCTGAAAGTCAAACACTGAGAAAAGTTAGAAAAGAATCAGGGATTACGTTAATGTCTGTTGTCTAATACATCCTAAAACAGCAGCACTTTTCCAGCTATCAGATAGCGTTCTCACAGTGTTGTCCAACATTACTTCTAAATATGTTAAAGTTTTTATCCAAGGTTCAAAGAATGTTTTAATGATATTTAACATCACCAACAATGTTCCTGTGAGGTTAAAATGTTTTAAAGTCAACATTCAGTGGATGTTTGGAGATGTGTTCCAAGGGAACAAAAGAAGAACATTCTTAAACCAACATTCAGAAAATGTTTTCTAGATCTTTCTGAGGCCTCAGAGGATTCTTATAATATGTTCTGGTGATGTGGTTTATTTACAAGGATTTAGCTAAGAATGTTTTGGCGATGTGGTTGAAGGAACACTTTATAGAATCTATTAAACATTCCTACAATGTTCCACAGTGTTCCATGACGACAAAAAGACAGTGCTCTCAATGCAAAGTCTGGTTTTCATGTTAGCACCAAACTTTTTGAAAAAACAAACTTCCCGCTAAGAACAACACCAGAACGTTTTTCTCCGAACATTTTTAATCAAGATAAATTCTACCTGGGTTGTGTTAAGTGCTAATTAGCAAATGTTAGCTTGCAGACATTTGAAATTAAGATGGTGAACATGCTGAACGGGATTCCTACTTAACATTAGCATCTTAGCTTTGTCAGTGTGAGCGTACTATCATGCTAACATTACAGTTCAGCTCAAAACTTCACAGAACTGCGCACGTGGCTGTCAGTCTTACTTTTGTTTATTCATTTATAAGCACTGTGTTGATGTATAAAGGTCAATATCTAACCAGCTTAGCATGGTTTTATTTTGGAAAGCTAACTACCTAAACTACATAGCTTTAAACAGCCTTGGTCCACCACATATTTTTACATATGTTGCCTGACTAGACTCCCTATCTAAACTTGACTTACAGCTCTCTTACTCTCCTGTTAGTTCTACCATGTATGAGAACTTCCACCATTATTGCTGTTAATTAATAGGGCTAACATGAAACTCACAGATTAGCTCCACGTAGTTTCAACCTGACTAGAGGTCTAAATTAGCCAGAATGATTGAAATCATCTATGTGGGTGTCCGTGGCCTTCAGTGTTTCAAGTCTCAGTCTGTAGCGCGCAGAGTGTTTTGCATCATAAAAACTACCTCCTCATCCATTCACTGAAATTATGTCTGACTCCAGAACAACTCGTGCAGAACAAGCTTGAATCATCAGGTTTCTGGTGTAGGTTTCAAGATGCAATGAGCATGAAAAACATCTGCCAAGTCAGAGAATGAAACTAAAGTTGTCGTTTTAGCCACAGGCAAAGCACAACATATCTGACAGTAGGCGTGCTATTGAAAAAAAAAGTGTGATGCTAACTGTGGTCAACAAGTTTGCATCTCTCTCGTCTTACTGCTGTCCTGTCTCTGCATCTTAACATATCCGGCTTCCTACTTGTCAATCCTGTATAAAGTGTGTAGAGGGCACCAATATGGGGCTCATGTATGAAACACTTACACAATCTGTTTGATATATTATCTTTCTGTACTTAACATTTTGTAAACAGGCTCATGGTTTTCCTATGGTATTTCCAAAACCTTTTACATCCCTAAATGTATAATTCCTCTATTTATGACAGTTTTGTGTGCTGAATTAAAATACATATTGACAACATTCACCCAGTATTTCTTTCATACAATGAAGATTTAATGCAGATTTGAACAAGTTGAGATAAAGCTGCCCCTGAATGCACTTATAATTCTCCTCTGTTTTTATTTATATTAAGTGGTCTAAATCTCCCAACAACAAAACAAAGCATGGCTGTATATGGCTAGATTCTACATGTTTTATGATCAAATAAATGTCATGAGGGCCTGAGGAAAATAATCAGTGTTAGAGGCATAGATCAGCTCTCTTGCACCCACAGCTGCTATTTCAGCCCTAAGGTGTGAATTTGAACCAAAAATGTATTGTTTTTGAGGGCAGTTCTTGTTTTATTTTGTTATATGGCATCTGACATAATGATCTTTTCTGTAACTGACGGCCTTCTTGTGTTTTCAAACACTTTTTCGGTACTGGTTTCTGTATCATTTGGCCTTTTAACATGATATTATACATCTTAGATTGAGAGAAAATGTCAGACATTTTAATTTATTCCTCAAAGAGATGTAAGGTTTTAGTCTTTAGAATACAATCCTCTGCTTGTTGGGTCAAAATTGTTAGAAACAATCCAGACAAACATGACTCAAACTAATGCTGGCCACTTTCTGCAGAGATATAACTTCATCCTTCACAAATCCTGAGAGGTTACTTAAGTTTGTATTCTTGTTTGACAGCATGCTTTGCATGGAAAAGCCTGTTCTTAACAAGGCCGTGTCAGATCACAGATTTATTCAGTCTCCTACAGAAAATAACCAGCAAGGTGATGTCTGAAAACAGCCCCCTCTGTATTACAATGGAGAAATTCAGTGATTCATAAACAGTTTAGAGTGACAGTCAAGGACTTTTTATGATAATTTTCCTCCTGTTGTTTTTTCCACCAAAGAATGACATCTTGTGACTGAACAGTAAATGTGGACATTTTTGACGTTTATGTGTTTCATTAGCTGCTGAGAGCAGTTTTAATTCAGGTTCTTTGTTCCTTACTCTGAAATTGTGCCAACTCACTTTGCACTAAACCTTTAACAGCATGAATGACATTCAAATGTCACTGAAACAAACAAACAAATACAGAAGCCTCAATAGTTGCAATTATTTCACAGCAATTTTAATGTTAATGAAGTGTTGCTCATTTGAAATTTAAATGTAACTGAGAGAATGGTGAAGTTTTTCTAACAGAGGAAACAAAGTTGACAACAAAATTATTCTAAAATAGACAATACGTTTGTACAGCTTTGGAAATGATTATTAGACTACCTGTTGTTCCCTTTGCATAGTCTGCACAGCAGGTTTTCAATACTGACAACTTAGATAGAATTTTATTATAGTGGATTAAATAATTACAGCACCTTCTAAAAGACATAAAAAGTCCAAATTCACTCCAAGTGGTTCAGAACATTTTTTGAGTCGTCACTATTTTGTGTATAAATTGTATCACATAAATAAATCATATAAATCAACACATAATCCAAACTACATTCTAACTCAACAATGCCTGAAAGAAGAGAAGTAAGAGAGCAAGAAGACGGCTGTCCAAATCAACTTGAAGAAGACAATTCAGTATGATTCCATCAAGAACCACAAAGGAGGCAGAAAACAGCGATCACAGTGGACTAATAATGTTTATAAAACTGTATAAAGTCAAAGTTCCCAACCTCTTTTCCACATCTTGAATCATTTAGTGCAGATCACAGATATTTATGAACTAATCACCACAGAATAATTCCTTATTATTTGCAAATTCACTTGTTTCACTTTAACATTTTGGTGCTCTGTGATGTAAACTATTAGTCTACTCTTTATCTTTAGGAAAATACGTTTATTTCCTTACTGGCTAGGAATTACATCAGAGGGTAAATACCTCTTTCCAACTGGTTTGGTCTTCGTGATGCTACGGCTATTTGCCAATTAGCTTAGCTTAGCATTAAGATCGCTAACGGGAGAAAACAGTTCACCTACATTTCAAAGGTAACACAATCCTAGAAATTTAAGTGTAGAATTAATGACCTTTAAAGGAGCTTGTAGGTGGAGTTGGTGACCTTTGAATAGACTCAGATAGCTGTTGTCTCAGTTCACAGTATTTAAGCTAAGCTAAGCTAACTGGATGCTGTCTCGAGCTTTGAATTTAGTGTAAAGCTATGACAATGGGGACTGCACGGTAGCTCTGTGGTTAGCACTGCTGCCTTGCAGCTAGAAGGTCGCCACTTCACGTCCTGGTGAGGACACATTGGAGTGGAGTTTGTATGTTCTCCCTGTGCAGCGTGGGTTCT